AGACGCGCGGCAGGGACACTGGTTTTATTTCAGAATTTATTTTTTTATAAACGAAATTAAAGCCGTTCTGAAAAATGTATATCATATACTATACGTATTCGATTTAGTTCAGTTGATATAAAGAAAATGGTATATTATGTAAAGTACCTATTGAATACAGTGCTTTTTTTGTGAAATTTCGAGGTAAGTTTGTGTTTTTTTCTATCGTGAAAATTTTTAGTACCAGTGTTTTCACACCGTATACTAATCAGTGTATATCCTCGATTTTACTATATTATATATTTCCAAAGTAATTGATTCAACACTCTCACTGTTATACGGAATCCACCAAAACCATTGAGGTTGTATCGACTCACATTCTCATATCAATTGATGCGCTGTGACCATTGACTTACAATTATATGGACGTCGGGTCCGCGCTAAAAAGTGTCCGCACTTGTAAGGCGCTAAAATCGTATACAGAGCGCGACACTCCGCTTTAGTCTTCATTTGTTCTACGGACAGCGCGATACTGCGATGACATAACAATTTAAATTTCGAATAGGTTGACTTGGGACATTTTTTTCGTGGTTTTTGTATTAGACCCGTCGTCCATTTATTTGTAAGTCAATGGCTGTGACCGATATTTTTGTTTATACGTTTTTAGACGTTTCTTCAACAGGCTATAATTGAATGTAACAAACAATGATACTGACATCAATAAACGATTACGTCTTTAATCCACCTTTTTTTTTCTTTAATCCACCTGCCGACGTTGCTCGTGTATGCCAGCGCTCTTTGCTATGTGTGAGTAGAGCTTACTTATCCTGTGAAATTTCGATGCTACGTGTCCCTAGAGATTCAACATTTTGAAATGTTGTAGAGCAATGACGTCTCAATTAAGATTTTGTATGACCAAATGGCGTTCTCTTATAGTCTTCGATGAAATATAAGAAATTAAACGTTTAATAAAAAATTGTTCTACATCATTTATAAATGTTTATAGTATGTGGCTCGCGCGAATGTTTTATAATAATTATTTTTTTAATAATATCAAGTGACGGGACGAACAAGTCGTGCGCCTGATGGTACGCTACGCGCCTGAGATCAATATTAAAAATTGTACTGGTTACAAAAGCCATCAATTGTTAAAAAAAACATTGATAAAAAGAAGATCAAATATTATTTTTGAATACCAAATATTAATTTAGAATGCTCAAACATGGCTCAAACATAATAATAGTGAAAAGGTTGTAAACCTTAATAAGCCCTGACCAGGTTCACGGCCATAAAATACATTACTTCGGTCCGCAAAAATTTATTCGTAATCAAATCGAAATGAGAAAAAGAGGCTGTAACAAAAAAAGGTGTATGTATAAAAACAGGTACAACCCTACAACACACTCCCTACTTAAATATTAAACGTGAGACAGACTTACCCCGAAAGGGCCGAGTTAAACAATATTACAGTTTGGTATTAAAACTGGTAAAAGAATCAAAATTATATGCAATTTAAAATGAGAGCAGTACTGTTCGCTGCCGCGATCGAGCAGGGAGTGGCAATGGAACGAAACAAAATCAGAATCGCGAGGCAAGGAAGTAAAAAACGATTCAAAATTTAAAAACAAGTGGCCAGGAACCGGAGAAAAGGCGATAAAAAGGTGGGATGACGATGTAAGGTCACATCGTCACAATAGTGTTACTTATAATGCAGCATACAGCAAAAAGCATTTATAATTTATCCCTAGATCAACTAATATAGATGGAACTATTAATATATATATTAAACATAAACAAAATGTCGTTTATTTAAAAAAGTGCACATTTTCAATTTGAGGATCAAATAATATTATCCCTATATATTATCTATATATATAATATTATCCCTTATAAATATATCCCTTAACTAATAAGTTAAAATTCGCTCAAACTGTTATATTTCAATTTTATATTTTTTAAGGTTATAGAAAAGAGTTTGTTTCATTTATTTATTTATTGAAAACACTTGAAAGCTTACAGTATTCACATTATCATAACGCTTACAAGTCAAGTTGATTAAGTTAAAAAATTAACAAAAATGATGTATCATGTTCCAGTTTATTTGTAGAACACGCTCTGCTTTTTAATTAGGAATACAACAATACTATAAAATATGTACAAATGTTTGCCCCTCTATTAGACGCATCGTCATGTCAAAATTATAGAATTTTAAAACTTTTAGGTAAAATTAGATTTAAGTAAAACTAGAATCTGCTCCATCTAATCTGAATTAAGCATAATCGGTTGAGGGGTCCTTAGCTTCCCCCGCTAAAGACCGGAGCCCCTCTTGGGGCCTCCTAAATGGGCTAAGAACAATATAGCACTTACCGCTATGAATTATAAATAAACTACGTCTTATGTTACACAAGGGCCACTGTTTTATATACTAAGTAAGAATACTTAGTTTACGGAGCTTATAATATCCACATATATATATGTTGCTACCTATTTATGTACATAATTACAAATCCCAAGAAAGATTATACAACGCCATAAAAAAAAGAAAAGAGAAAGAGTAAAGATTAGATTACACGAAACTTTGTCTCTTGTTTAATACACGTTTTTTAAACATTTTAAAAATTATCTCTTCAGTCTTTAATTATTATTTATTTTTACAAAATCACACTATTTTTTCTAATGTTGTTTATATATCACACTTTTCATTGTTTATAAATAATGTTGTTATATAGTTAATAGTTATCATAAAAAAATTAACACTTTATAGTAAATTGAAACCGAAATGTAGAGCTATTTTTAAAGCTACACTACATTACTAGTTCCTGGCCACGAAAAGGACATAAATTTCAGTGGGTGTCAAAAAGGCGACTGAGGAATAAATTCATTAGATGAACAGTGGCAGGCAAGCTTGTTGGTTATTATATTACCTCCATTTTGAAGAATTATACTGTTATAAGGATTTAACGTCGGTTCCCCAAAATTCAAACTAAATTTAGGCTTAAAAAGGATGGAAAATTTAATTTTAGTTTAGAATTGTCAAATCAAGTGCAGCACATTTCCATTACACTTCTAAAGTGGAATTGTTATAATATGACTAAATTAAAATTAAATATTTTGCCTTTACTGATAACGAATGAGAACAGCCTCGAGACTCAGACATATTTATTTTATTTGAACACTTTATTGTACCACAAAGTAAATTATAAATTTTCAAAAACAACTCAAATATTTGTATACAAGGGCGAGCTTATGCCATAAAGAGATTTCTTTCAACTAACCTTTGAAAATCTGAGAGGAAAGTTGGTTGTTGTTGTGACACTAAAAATGAAAAATAAAGAAATGGTATATACTATACTCAACAAATACACAGATAAATTTATTATATTAAATGGACATAATTATCTAAACTAATAGACATTATTATCTAATTAGCGCGCACTTTCGTCGAGATCACGGAAGATCATGATTAAGGATCACGGATTGGTTCGAAATATGTCAAGCAAAAATTCGATTTAAATACGTGATTTATCCGTTAGCTTGTAACTGAAAATGGGCACTTTATTAAATTGAAACTTAATTTACTTAGGGGGAATCGACTATCATGACTTTCTTACGGGTTCTGAGGTGAAATATTTAGAAGCCCATGCGTTTCACAGTTGAGCACTATCCCCTAAGGAGTATTGATCACCTAGACTCAATCCTGGTTGATTAGAATTATGTCTGGTATGCGGGTTTTATCACGATGTCATCTTTCACCATTGATGATTGACTATTTTAAAACATTTAGACGAACCCAAGACCTTCTGGATACGTAGCAGACGTTCTCCAAACTAGATAATGACGAACAAGCCCTGCACCTGGTGGTAAACGACACGCCTGCAGTTCTAGCAGTTCTAGTGCCACTCAGGCCTTTAAATCGCAAAGATCCGAGAGGCACTGCCATTGTGCCCCGTCACCCTGAGATATAAGTTTAAAAGTTCCAAGTGTCTGTAATTTCACCAACACCGTTACCCTTCAAAACGTTTCGGTTAGTAATGCTCAGATTACTGCTTAGCAGGAGAAATAGGTAAGGTGGCAGTACTTCCCTGGACTCTTTCATAAGGAGCTTCACTGCTACTTGTTTTCTTTTTTTTAATTGATTTATTCAAAATACAATACTTAAACTAAAACTTTACATGGTTATACAAAAGTAGAATGTATCTCAAATTAATTCGCCACTTTTGTTTTACGTACGACACATACCACAAGTAGTACCTTTTTAAAATTGGTTTGCATTTCTTAGTATTTGTTAACATATCTTTATGCAACTGTACTTACAGGTATTTTGTTTAGAATGTCAGGCAACATTACTTCGCAATCCTCATACCTTATACATTAGTCATTCTAGGCAGTTGATATGCAGGTAAGTAAGTAAAAGTAGGTAGGTAATCGACTTGGTCTGTTTGTTTTTATGAAAATGGTGATAATTATGAATATTGATAATATATTTTTAGTTTTTAAAAATTTTCGTGAATGTACTTTTTTCTTCTATGTGTTTTTTGTGGTAAGCAAATTAATGTCGTTTCACCTCACTAGATCTGAAAGGCTTTCTTTCTCATTAGAAATTTGCGCGCAAACGCGTTTTTTCCACGCTAGTGTGGAAAAGGTGTTTGGAATTCGAACTTGACAATGGACTGTGGTGCAGCTAATGTTTTCTTTCGATGAAAAAAAAGATAATGACACAGCATTCAACTACGCGATATGTCGTGCATTAGTTATGTAATACAAATTCGTTGGTATATTTTATTCTTATTATTGTTGACATTAAATTGACAACGATAACTAATTTTGTTTATTAAAACTGATTAAAAAACAAAATTAATTAAAAAATCTTAGGATCCTTCGCTTGCTCAGGTTTCAATACAAGCACTGGCGTCAAACAACAACTTTGCAGCCTTGCATAACAAATAACTATTACTTTCTTTCCAAATCAATTAATTAATAGTAATTTTCTATTACAGCCCCGAAAAATGCACTAAACAAAAATGGATTCGCCGATATCATCGCACGACGAGCGCGACATCGAAGTCAACGTGGTCTCCGGTGCCAGCAGCCCCGACATCACCTCTTCGCCTTCCAGAAAAGACCAGAAGAGCCCATTCTACGATTTGAAGAAGGATAAAGAAGAAAAGGCGACTGGCAGTGCGCCATATACGAGTTTCTCTATAAGCTCTATTTTGAATAGAACAGAGCCTAGAAGGGATTCGAATGTACTGGAAGCTGCGTTGACTGCGAACCATTTTGGGAGTAACGATGCTATGCTTTCGAGGTAGGTGGATTTTATAGATTTGTCGTATTACTATCAAACGATATTGTCCACAAAAATAATAGATAGATAGATAAAACGTTTACTTGGGTCTACATACTTATACATAATTGACAAAATATATAATATAATAAAAAAAAGGAAAAAAAAGCAGCAGGGTTGCAGCACTGCCTAACACCCAGTTGTGTACGTGGGCTGTAGCAGTGCAAAAGGGCCCATCTCAGCGTCGGTGTTTACTCAGGAGCAAACCACTGATTTTCAGCTAGAACCTACAGGGTGTCGCAGATACGACAACCAGCTAGATGATGCCATTTCCATGTTCAACAATTTAAGTAAATAAAGCGGGATTTATTTACATTTGTCTGACGTTTCGACATTTTCGTACATTTAACATGGTCGGATTTATATTAGTGTATCGCAATCTGACGTGACAGGTTGTGCTGCGTGTATGAAACCGATGCCGATATAAAAGTCAAATTAATTACAAATAAGTAAATCATGTTGTTATTACACAATATTATGTAGCAAGTTTTTGCCATCTAAGCAAAACACTGTTTCTGAGATGGTATTTTCTAATTACTGGAAAGATAAAAAGATATACGGTACTATTGAAAGCTTTTAAAGCAAAATTTAATTTGTAATAGTAACTACATGTATTACCTGATCAGAAATTAGGAATTTCCATGTACTATGAATACCAGCGCAACGAGATTAACTTTGAGAACACAATATTCAGACCAGGAATTAAATTTCGTTTCCCATTTTGATCCTACTAAGAATCGCATCGGAGACTTCCTCAACTAGCGAACCGGAGTTGCCGAGGTTGTCAGAAAACTAGCATAAGAGATATCAACAATAAGCTACTGAGGAGTAGTTTTCTCCTTTTGTAGGTATTGCTGTTTTTCACTAAAGCGATGATTTTGATAACGTTTGAAGGAAGCTTTTTTATAATATTAAGTGACGGGACGAACAAATCGTGCGCCTAATGGTAAGCTACACGCCTGTCCATAACAGGTGTAGTGCCACTCAGAGCTTTAAATCGCAAAGATCTGAGGTACACTGGCACTGCGCCCGTCACCCTGACACATAAGTTTACAAGTCTCATGTTCCTGTAATTTCACCAGCATAGGCGTGCAACATGTGCCTGTAATTTTACCAGAATAGTTATGGCATCACTTAAGTACATAGATATCGGCAACAATGAATGGAGAGGTCCATTTGTAACTCGATCACGGCATGAGATTCTCAAGATGCGAATGTAATTAGCCGTTATGATTTAAAAAAGTGAGTATGTTTATTTTGAGCCCCAATTTGTTGTTTAACCCGGAAAAGTTATCTCTACACCATCTGTCGACCACTTGGCTATAATACTATCCACTTGACTATTCGCTAGTCACTCGGCTGGAATGGTAAGCAACCACAGAAGGCAATGATGTTCAATGTTTTGTAGATAGGTCATGGACTCAATACCAATATATTCTGAACGAAAATACTAACATTTTGTAACGTGTTGACGTAACATTGTGGTCAGCTCTCACGGTGTAACCTGGTCGAAACGACGTGGTAATAGATAGGTGTAATAATACTTATTAAATTGTTTAATCACGTTTATTCCCGTTTTCAAATGTTAGTAGAATGCAACGCGGCATTTATGTGAAATAGACTTTGGTTTTGACTTTTAATCAAATCCAAAATTCAAAATATTTATTGCTTCCATGTGTTACACAGATCTTAAAATTTAAATAGTACCAACATGACCCTGTTAGGACGCCGCAATTAAAATAATATAATATTATATATAAAATAACAGAATAATTTGTGTATATGTTATATATACACAAATTATTATGTGTATATATAATAATAGATGTTGTATTATAATATAATTAATATACACAAATTATTTTGTTATTTAAAAAAAAATTACCTTTAAAAGATTGCCCAGTACACGAGTTTGAAAAATTAAGGCTTTTATTTACAAGTCCGACCAAAGTATTTGACATTGAAGTAGTATGTAGTTGGGACTTCATATGTACAGATGGAGCCAAGGACTGAGAACGTGTTAAAAATAAACTAAAATAGTCTACACGAATACTCCTGCTTAGGTCGCTGAGGTTGAAAGCTGGTTAGTTGTTGTCTATTGGTAACTCAACCTTTTAAATTATATTGTGATAAATCTTGGGCAGAGCAAATACTCATATTACGAACCGCAAATAGTCATTATGCCATTTTATTAGCGGATTATAGAGTTTTTTTGTGGTACCAAATGACGGGACGAACAAGTCAAGCCTGTGGGTAAGCGACACGCCTGTCCATAACATAGGGAGTGCCACTTAGAGCTTTAAATCACAAAGATCTGAGGGGCACTACCATTCCGCCCGTCCCCCTGAGACATAAGTAGATAAGTTATTACTTATTATTATTACTATTAATTTTAGTAACATGTATATTATAGATTATTTATACAAATTACTTAAATATTTACACTTAAATATAAACTTCTGCTAGCATGTTCAAATTTATATTGTGTAGATACAGGTCGCATTATGACAAACCTTAGTGGTTTAAAATGCGATTAGAAACATATTTGTGTATTTTGTCCTTTATACAATAAATAAATTAAAAAAAAAAAAGTGTCATGTGCCTGTAATTTCACCAGCATCCTTACCCTTCAAAACCGGAACGCAGTAATACTCACATTACGGCTTGACAGCAGATATAGCTACGGTAACAGTACACACTAACTTCCTGGATCGCAAACTAGAGAATTCCCTGTACTATGAGTACCAGAGCAACGAAATTCATTCCAGGGCTGTACCCATCTAGACCAGAACTTATTTAGAAAAGTTCACTTCCCAAATTGGTTCCGCCGGGAATCGAAACCGGGACATTCGCATCCAGTGCTTACAGTGCAAACCGTTGGGACACCAAAGTCGTGAAAGTTAATTTCATGTTACATGTCATGTCAGTTTTTGTCTATCGCTTAAAATTTAAACACAAAAAATATATGAATCGAAGCCGATTGGTCACTTTTGAACAGAGCATAGTATCTGAAATCACTACTCAGCGTTGCAGTCGAAATGAAAAGAATGCCTTGGAATGGCAGACCTTTAAGTGACATGTCTAAGTAAAAATAATTAAGTCAAAACCTCGACCTGTAATAGAGGAGGATCGTACAAGACTGCGGTCCAAACTCGGCCACTGATTAGTTGCCCGAAGTGGCCAATTAACTAGAACTGTTAACTATTCTATAATGCGATGAAGTTAGGAATACTGTACGTATACTATGAGTTATCGGTGTTGATATTTGCTAGCGAACACGTATAATATTTGGCATGTAGAGGAAATGTCGTGATAGAAAAAGCCCAATAAGTTCGTAGTGTAACGTTCGTGTCACGAGAAGTTGAAAGAAGTGTCACACACAGTGTGTGAAACGTCACAGTACATTTCGTTTTAGTACAGGTTGAGATAATATCTCAAAAACAGATTTTTCAGGAGAGAATTTTAAAGTTTTTTCCAGCATTATTTCAGCCGCCATTGTTATTTAGTCTTCCCCACTTATATGTATTTAAATCCTATACATTTAATAGTATATATAGTAAATAAGAATAGTTCCGTAGTTTTACGAAATCCTGAAATTGTTCAGAGAGGTCTATAATATTACCCTTTTGAGCATAAAATATTTGTCACTCAGTTTTATGTAAACTATTCATGCTTAATACTTTTAAATGAAAGAAGAAATAATATTCAATTCGATAACACTTTGAGGAACATATAAAAAAATTACTGTATACCATAACGATTTAATGAAAAATATATCCCAAAAAAGGTATTCGTATAAAGGTATACCTTGAAACAATCGTCTTCGTTTTAGATATAAATATTTTTAAAATACACTTAGGTACCTTATAATGTACACATACTGTGTTTTAGTTTTTATACCTTGTTCAACGAACGACGATGTCTTGACGACTACAGCCTCGTGTGTAATACTGAATACGACTGTGTTGCTTAATGTTTGGGGGCAAAACGTGCAAAAAGTTCAGAGCTACGATCCTGCCTCCAGCGCCATTTCACGTCCGATCGTTATAACTGCCTTCCGCTAGCTAAAAGCGGCTAAGTGACAAAACAATTTTTTGAGATATCATAAAATACCATAACCCAGTTTTAGAATATTGAAATTGTTTAGTGATATTTCAGCTATGCATCGTTAGCGTAAGTTCCGATAAGTCGAACACGTTAACTAATTTTAACTGTTTTTAAAAGATAATTTTGTGCTCTATCTTTTGCTATTTAAAACGGGTATTTGATCATTCATTTAGTGAAGGGCAGATAAGACCTTATTCATTAGAAAGATCTCGATTTTTTTAATAGAACTGTATTTTAAAGTAAAAAGTCCAGTTTTTTGAGTTGATAACCTGTTCATCCAAGGCATCGATTTATAAAAATGTAATTTATATAGTAAACCGCTGATTCGTCCAGGGAAATACTGCCACTTTACCTATTACTGTTGCCAATCAGTAATGTGAGCATTACCTACCGTGTTTCGATTTTGAAGGGTGCTGTTGAAATTACAGGCACGTGAGACTAGTTAAATTATGTCTCAGGGTGAAAGGCGCATCTTTGCTATTTATTTATTTTATATTTATTTATCTGAACGGCACTGCAACTGTTGTGGATAGGGGCGTCGCTTACTGCAAGGCGCAGAACTTGTTACTCCCGCTATTTGGTATCGTAAAAAAAAAGTAAAAACTTCGCCACTCGAGCTCCATCTCCTTCTCCTTCTTCAGCTCCATCGTCCATTTCTTCTACTAGCAAATTGACAATTGAAGTCGATTGTACAGATTAGTGATTCAAAATTCAAATTCATGGTTTCATAATTGCACTTAACATACACAAAACCGCTAAGACGCACGCGTCACACCGCCTACCAATACGCGTACGTACCTGATCCATCGCGAACGTCATACACTTTCGATAAATCTTCTGTTATAAAAGTTGCG